GGTTTAGGGTTCGGTTTAGGGTTTGGGGTTTAGGGTTTGCGGTTTAGGGTGAGTATTTGGTGCAGGATTTGCCACGGCCGCACCTGCAGTCACGCGTGACAACGTTTGCAGCTTTAGTTCCAGCCACGCGGCTGAGCTGCCGCCCCGACCCCCCTTTTTTGCTCTACAGAGTTCTGATGCCTTCTGCTTCTGCTTCGGGTGTGTTTGAAGTGTTTGTGCTTCGGTTGCTTGCGTTTCTGTCATTTTGCAGGCAGTCTTGCTGTCATGGTCTAATCCGTTCTGCTGTTGACAACCCTAAACCCTAAAGCCTATCATACCCTATCCCAAGCATGACTGACGTCCATGGTCTCGTCCCTTCTGCCTTTCCGAACATCCAATGGCCGAAGCCTGATGAAGCCTAAGGCAAGGGGCCTCAACAATTACCAATACCCCTATTTTGTGAGTTTTTTTGGTGGGCTCCTTGTTATAGTTAAAGTAGAATATACCCCAAAACCCTATTCCAATTGTTAAGGCCTCTACATAAACCCTCAATCCTCAACCCGAAACCCTAAACCCAAGGAACCCTAAACCCTAAACCCAAGGAGCCCTAAACTCTACATTACCTAAATCCACAAGGCTTTTGTCGAGCTTCGGCTCTTGTGGTTTAGGACTTCGAGCTCAGCCCGCAACCCGGTTTAGGGTTTAGGGTTTAGGGGTTTAGGGGTTTAGGGTTTTGGGTTTTGGGCTTAGGGTTTTGGGTCTAGGGTTTTGGGTTTTGGGTTTAGGGTTTAGGGTTCTGGGTTTAGGGTTTAGGGTTCTGGGTTTAGGGTTTAAGGTTTTGGGTTTAGGGTTTTGGGTTCGGGGCTCATGGTGTTGGGATTCAAGCAACCCAAAAAAGCCCCCGAATGCATGGATAGAATGGGAGAAACGGGTTTGTCAAGCAAGGTACATTCGAGACGCAAATGAAGAAAGGCCACCTGCAAACAATAGCTCAAGGCTGAGCTAACAAGAGAAACCACGACCATACAGATAACGACGACAATTTTGCTGGACCACGGAGACATCTAAGTAGTGACTCTCATCGGCAAAATCACTCAGAATGCAGTTGCTCAGACTGGGAAGTCTGCAAACAGGAATGCCCATCATGATAACATCGTCGTCGTCACTTAAGGTTTAGGGTAAAGGGCTTATCACCACCGATCCAACAGGGCAAGCTAGAGCAGCCACCCCAGCAGCAGTATCGTGAGCACCCACACCATCAGCGCCATCGTCATCATTATCATCATTTTGAGGCTCCGTACCTCTACCATCGCCATCACCATCACCATAATCAGATGAACAATACGATCATCATCATCATCATCACAGCCGCCTCATTCAATATCATTCACAAAAACAACATCAACCCAGCCACCACCGGCCATGAATCAGCCGTACTTTGCGAATACAACAACTTCTTCGGGCCTCCCAGTCCTTTTGGGCGCCTTTCCACACAGGATCCAGGTTCTGGCTGTGGGGGCAATCCTGAAGGAAGTGAGGCGCTTGCGAAGTTCTGCTTTAAGGACCTGCTGTTTTCGAGAATTCATCCAGTGACCCCAGCCACAGTACCGACTGTGAGCCCATAAGGATAAGCACAAGACACACCATTGCCATATTAAACTATAGTGGTACTTACAGTACTTGTGGTCCGACTTACACTCTGACTCTAACCCCAAACCCAACACTCTAAACCCGAAACCCTATACCCTAAACACCTAGACTCTAAAACTTCTCTGCGGGCGTGGACATGGAACGCAGCAAGAAAACCGGGAAAGCATCGAAGCATACACTGCAAAGAGTTTACAATTTACAACGTTTAGGGTTTATAGGGTTTTGGGGTTGAGGGCTTAGGGGTTTCGGGAGTAAGTAGATTTAGGGCTTTAGGGGTTTTAGTGGTTTTAGTGGTTTTGGGGGGTTTGGGGGGTTTGGGGGGTTTAGGAGTTTAGGATTGGTAGCTAAAGTGGTCGCCAGCACAAGTTTCTTCTTATGCACTCGAGATGCCTTTGCACCCAAGAAGCACGTTGCTCAAGTTCTCAGAAAAAAAAGACTCCAAGATGTCGTTAATGTAAGGACCTTACTAATTAGAATAGGGTGTTGGGAGTTCCTTACTATAATTATGGTATAATATACCCCCAACCCTATTCTAATTATTAACGCCCCTATATTAGGCAGTCTGAGATGTCGGCACGGAGTCCCGAATTCTGATCCGTAAACATTCAATCAAGTTAACAGCACCCTGAATGCTAAACTCTACAACCGCACGTCCCAACACCCCCTGAACACCGGTAGCACAGGACTAGTAGTAGTAGTAGTAGTAGTAGTAGTAGTAGTAGTGGTAGTAGTAGTAGCAGTTGTTGTTGTTGTTGTAGTAGTAGTAGCGGTGATAGCAGCAGCAGCAGCAGCAGCAGCAGCAGCAGCAGCAGGTGTGGAGATAGTACTAGATGGTGATGGGAAGGCATTCCATTACTGCATATCGAAAAATCCCAAACCCCTAAATTCCAAAATCAGACTTAAACCCTAAACCCTAAACCCTAAACCCCAAACCCGATACACACCATGCCCTAAAACCTGAACCTTATAAGCCTGAAAAACCGCATCAGAACCGGGCCGCCTTGGCATAGTAGTCGACTACTCTCTGGACCTCGCAGGGGCTTTGGGGCTTGAGGTTTTAAGGGCTCTGGATGTAGGGCTTTAAGGGTTTAGGGCTTTAGGCGTTTAGTGGTTTGGGTAAAGGGTGGTGTGGGGTTTGAAGTTAATGTAAGGGTTTAGGGTCTCAGGAAGAAGCCTCCCGCCTTTCGCCTTCGGCTGCACGGGGTCTGACTCACGAGTAATGCACGAAGAACTGTTCAGGGTTTTATAGGTTTCAGCTACACCCTAAACCCTAAACCCGAAACGGGTATACGATTTCGCAGCTGTTGAAAGGATTCTGTAATCGGACTTTGTCAGGACCGTAAGGTAGGGGTATGGGGTCTTGGCGCATATCATAGCTTGCTACGGATTACAAGGAGATGCTACCACCAATTTGCCCGACCCCAACAGAATGTGTTTCTTGACTGGCCCTAACACATCCCGACACCGCAGAACCTAGAAACCAGACACCAAGACCAAACCCTACACCGCACAGTCGTGTAGGTGTAAAACCTCCTCATTCCTGCCAGCTGTAAACCGCTCAAGCCCGAGAAGACAGGAAATAGAAAATATACACATTCTTGTCTCAGAAACCTTCACGGCCAAAACGAACCTTGTAGGTCACAGCCTGTAAAACCCACCCTCACTCACAATTTGTGAAATCTTGATGGCAAAAAAATTCATCCAGGATGATGTCGCTTGCCTTTTTGTAAGATGGCTGGACAGACGCTGTACATCTCTTTGCAGGTATGTCGATGTGCGTCCACATCGATATCAGCACTGCACTCTGACCCTCTTCGTTGGGCCAACAGTCAGAGTCACTGGTTGGCCCGTTGCACATTGTAAAGAAGCATCACCGATGAGCGCTCTCACCCTTCTGATCTTTCCTTCTACAACTCTAAGGACAAATACATTTGCTCATCAGATGAGGAACTCACTTTCTCAGTGGGCTTCAAAACACGTCATGTCATGCAGCTTCGGTTTTGCGAAGGAACATGCAACGCATAACAAGCCTCGAAGCTGGATCTGCTTCAAGTGGTTCAAGCATCAATCAAGACATGCAGAGCAGACGGTTTTGGTTCACATAAATGGCTGCGAAATCAGTCACACTCTCAACGCAAGAACCATCGCAAGAGTTGCACAAACAACCCTTCAGAGAGGGGTTCACCGAGATGCAAACCAGAAGATGATGCAAGCTCTCCGTCTTCCAAAAAGCAATCTCATGGGCCACAGACCAATCATGCATGCCAACGGTCTCTCGGCTTACTTTATGACGCATCCTAAGAAGTCTGCGCAGCAATTCGTCGCAGCGAGAATAGACAGTCTGAGAATAAACGTGAAAATCAGCGAAATGCGCTCCCGCACTTCTGATCATCACAACCGCAACTCAAGTGAGAAAGCATTTTGCCAAGCCCATCACAAATTCAAAAACATGTCATGTAGGTTCCGGAATGGGAACATGCAATGCCAACTTGCAAGTTCAATCTGGTTCAAGCATCAATCAAGCCATGTCGAACAAAGGTTCTGCAGCACATGAGGTCATAAAGCACGTTGGGATCAAGCATCAAATGGCTGCGGCGCATGCGGCGCATTCCGACTGCAAGAACCTTCTGTTGCAGAGCAGCTTTGCCCAAAGATCGTGTCCAGAAGAGCTCTGGTGCAGATGTTCTGTCACTACTAACGTCGTCGGAGATCAGTCTTGAAAGCAACCAATTTGCAAGTTGACCGGACAATGCCTTCTTGAAAATCGACTGGACACTTCATGGCTGTGTTTGATATCAGCCTGCACCCAAAAGTCAATATCAGCGAGATGCGCTCGCGCACTTCTGATGGTTCCCGCGGCAACAGCTCTCATGAGAAAACGTTTGGTGTATCAGATCTCAAACTCCAAAACAAACCCAGATCGGTCCAAAAATGGTCGTGTCATGCAGCTTCGGGAAGAATGCAAGGCAGCTCAAAATTTTTTGTTTTCAATTTTCAATCAAGACATGCCAAGCAAGCGGCTCGGCTCACATCATGTCTACAAGCATGTTGGTAACGACGATTCAATCGGTGGTGGCATAGAGCCATAATGTAATCAATCACGCTTCAATTGCAAGAACCCTCGCATCTGCAGCAGCTTTGTCTCCAAGAGAAAGGTGTCACATGGTACAGATCAGCAGAACATGCAATTCAGGCTTTTCTAAGAATTCAACAGACGCTGGTCAGCCTTGCAAGCCGGCAGTCTCACCGGGTTGCTTTCCGCCGTTTCATCGGCCGTCTGCCTGGCACTTCCTTCTTTCTTTTGATAGGGCCAGCAGCGCTACCTCCGTATACGGACGTGTGCCTACAACTGGAAGTTACGGAAACAGGCGGGATGTGGATGTAATTTGGGCTGAGAACTTTACTCAGCCATCCCAGGCGCAACTGCACCTTCCAAAGCGCTCTAACTTTCACCATTGAAGCGCCAGTAAAAGCCAGCATCTTGGATCCTTCAACCACAGGTTGCCCTTGTCTGTTCCTTCGCGGTTTGGCATGATGACATTTGCGGCACCGCAACCACTTGAGTGACCGTCCCGGATCCGAGTTCATCGCAGGAAGAATGTCTCGAACATGCTTCCAAGTCCCTCTAGCCGTGCATTCCAGGTAAACCGCGGCTCGAATAGTGCGCGCATACTCCTCCTCGCCCTACAGCAGAAACCCAAGACACAACAAAGCCCCAAAAACCCCTCTTGCTGTAACCCTAAGCCCTAAACCTTAAACCCCGACCAGAGCCAAGAACTGACCTGAGAGCCCAAAAAGCACCCAAACATAAACTGTGCAAGTTAACATCCACAGAAATTTTGGGGCCCAATAAACTATAATTATAATAAGGACCCCCAAAATAGTATTCAAAATTATTTAGGCCCCTACATTATGCATAGCTTTATGAAACCAACATAAGGTATCTTCTGGTGTAGCTATAGTAAGGTAGTGGAAACTACTCACCCTTCTAGTAACCCTCATAGTAGCCCTTTAACTGAACCCTTAAAAGAACCTTTTAGGCCAAGACTTCAAGAGGAAAAGGGTCCTTACTTCAAGGCCTCGTCCTTCAGCTTCTTCGCCGCAAGCACCGGCTGCGACGTGTTTGGATCGAACTCAGCCGGGGCCTCACCGCGGGCATAGAGCTCGCATTACGGGTGAGGGTTTTAGCGCTTTGTTTGTGATTTCAGATACCCTAAACCCTAAACCCTAAACCCTAAACCCGTATGTACTTCTTCGGCTTGGCCAGACGAGCCGTCGATCAAGGACAAAGATGGTGGCCGATGTCTAGAAGGGTTTAGGGTTGAGGGTTTAGGGTTTAGGGTTAGGGTTTAGGGTTTAGGGTTTGGGGTTTATGGTTGACCAGGTGTTCAATGTTCAAACCACGGTTCAAAGCAGCTTGCTTGAGCTTGCTTGGAGGTTCATGGGTAGTTATATGTGTGGCTAAAAGTCACCAAATCTGGGTCTTAACTATAGCTGACTATAGCTATCCTACTTGTGGCCCCCACTTAACCCTAAGCCCTAATCCCTAAACCTTAAACAACACAGAACCAGTGAAGGAACCCCACTCACAATGACCCATGAACCTCCAATCGGGCATAAACCCTAAACCCTAAAACCCTAAACCCTAAACCCTAATCACAGGGCTTCCGACTTCAGGGTTTAGGACCTGCGGCCCTGGACCCCAAACCTCACGGCTAGGGGTTGGGGTTTAGGGTTTAGGGCTTAGGGGCTCTGCTGATCTTTGGGGATATCTCGTCGTCTGCAACATATTCTGGCAAGGTTTAGGGCTCAAACATGTCGTACGCTGGGAATCGCTCTTGCAATTGGCATGCACCACAAGATTTGCAGCTCAGCGTTTGGAGTCTTCGATCGTTAGTGCTGGTGGTGCTTATCGTGCTGGTCGTGCTGGTCGTGATGGTCGTGATGGGAAGATGCAGGCAGAACTAGATCCATTTGTCTTCGACTGATACATTGAAAGAGAGAGAAAGTGAAAGAAAGAAACAAAGAAAGATGTACATAAATATGTGTGCATGCCTACATATACATGTGTATGTCTCTCTATATATATATATAT